CCTATGAAGCGGTATATAAGTCTACTGCTATTGCTATTGCTATTGCTATTGAGTAATATTTGCTTATGTGTTTCAATCACCGACCACCACTGACCCAATTTCTTCTGCATAGCCCGATCCCATGGTTTCGTAGTGAAGCACAGGTATCCAGCTAGTAGTTAATATTGTTATGATTTTATGATGTAAAGCCAAACATCCTCTCTCTCCTTCTTATGGAGATCCTGTCCTTCTTTCTTTCTACAAAATTCAGACAAAGTCTTGTTGACCCAAAGGATCTACTCATGTAGAAATGCTTTTGTTTTCTCTTCAATATGTCTCTCTCTCTCCCCCCTCCCTCTCTTTCTCTCTTTCTCCACACACAGACACACACACACACACACACACACACACACACACACACGCACACACACACACCTGAGATAACAGGACTAGGTTGAACGTGAGGAGGATACAGAGCAGTACCGTGTTGGCATTTAGACAAGGAAAAGGGATTAACTTTTATTAAATAACTTAAAAGAGGTTGCAAAGAGGTTCCCTCAAATATTAGAATTGATCCAAAAGCTGTCAGCCCTATCTTTCTCTGTCCCTAAATATGCACTCATAAATCTGTCAGTTTGACAGATGAAGGCTTGATTGAGAGGAGACAAGTCTCCCTTGATCCATCTTTCCACTCATACCCCCCAAATACCTCTATCCTCAGTTCTCCCCTACCTCCAGAATACAATCTCAGACTCAATTCCCTGGGCCACCATGCTTTGATGGACAGTTCTAATAACCAGGCATCCCATAAGCACTAGAAGTCTTTTGCTGATTAGGGAGGTATATAAATCAATCAAGCTCATAGGCGCCACAACTGATTCAGAGCAGTTGTGAGGTTGGTGGTATGACAACTCTTTTTTTTAGATCTTCAGGGGTTTCCACACCCAAAAAAAAATCCTGAAAAACCAGTGCTTGTTTCAAATATTTTGGATCAGAAAATCAGTCATGACTTACAACTGGTCCTTACATTTGTTGACCATTGCAGCATCCCTATGGTCACATGATCAAAATTTGGGTGCTTGGCAATTGGTATGTCTTTACAATGGTTGGCATGTCCCAGGATCAAGTGATCAGCATTTGCAACTTTCCCAGCTGGCTTCTATTATGCCCCGCCATCAGCCAGAAGAGCTGGCGGCAGATTCGGACAGTGTGGAGGTTGGGGAGGAATATGGGCCAGTCTTGGAGTCTGGGGAAGGCTCTAATGAGTGCTCTGTGTCAGAGGCAGAGATGAGGCCAGGGCCGTCTGACAGTTATCAACGGTCTTTAGAGTCGGAAATCAGTGGGGCAGAAGAACAGCTGGAGCCTGTTCCCGATGTGCACATGCACAGAGCTGCCAGGAGAAGGGAACAGTTAAAAGAACAAGGGCCGACTTGGGAATAAAGGTACAGGTGGACGGTGAATGGCCCCTCCCATTGGGAATAAAGAGGAGCGAAAGTGGAGGAGAGTTTTCAGGAGACAATTGGTTCACTTAATTAGTGTGAAGATTTATTTGTGATTCTCAGAGACTCCTTGCCAAACATTTTCTTGTATAGCGTTGTGTTTGGAAGATATTGGCCTGGAAGCTCTCCAAGCCTGATAAGGTCTGTGGTTGTAAATTCACCCTTGAAAGACTGTTTGCCAGGACTTTGCTGGATGTGAATGAGAGAAATTCACATTAGCTTAATAAAAAGGGGTTTTGTCGGGACAAGGAGTCTGCTTCTTAATTTTGTGAAGCCTAGGTCATATCAGCTTCTGACAACTAGAGTTAATAGAAGGGAGGCCAGATTTGCTTAATGACTACATGATTTACTTAACAACTGCAGTGTTTACGACTGCAGCAATTCTCTTAACAACCATAGCAAAAAATGTTGCAAAATGAGGCGCGAATCACTTAATAACTATCTTGCCTAGCAATAGAAATTCTAATTCCAATTGGGGTCCTGAGTTGAGGACTACTTGTGCTGAATCTTAAAACTGAATCTTAAACATGAAATCTCCCACTGTTTCTGCATAGAAACAGGCAGAATACCCTGTCGATCGGACAAAAGTTCCAGGAAGAAGCGAAAGAAACCACATCATAAAAGCTTCCCCTGCTTGCCTGCTCACTCCCAAGGAAAATGTAAAGTTGCAAAGCTGGGTAATTGCTTTTTGTCCATGTGTGGCTTTTCAGCCTAGAGTGAAGCTACACAATGGGGATTTGCCAGGCAGCTATTAACATCCGTGAACCCATGTGTTTGTGTGCCAAAGCAAGAAAGGCACTTTGCGCAACTTCAAAAGGACTGTCCCTCCTGTGGAAGGAAGGGATGTATCTGGTAGCAATGCTTCCAAAGGCTCTTCTGATATATTTTAATGATTCCCACCCTTTGATTCAGCAAAGTTTAAGATTCTGTCATCAGATAAACTCATTCCTGGAAAGATACACCAGGCTCAGTAAATCTGGGTGCCTCTAGATCTCTCCTAAGATTTGCAAAAACCTACACAGGTAAACAAAAAAAGGGAAGAAGCTTAAAGCAAGGCACTCCCGGGAGAAAACTTTGCCCAGGTTGGTTAGCAGGATTCTGACAAGCTCCCCACCCTTTTCTATTTGGCTAAGGGGAAGATGCCAATTACAGTCTAGATTTTGCTTCCTGTCAAATCTTTGCTGGTGCAAACTTGCATTTTCAACGCGCCCATAACCCACAGTCATAAAAAGAGCCTAAACTGGGTACTTCGCAAAAAAAAAAATGGTTGCAAAATGCAACGCAACATTGCACAATGGAGAAAAGTGTGTGGAAGAAAAGGCAGTGTGAAGGGTGCATACATCACCGTTCCAGATGCCCAGTTGTTTTCTTCAAAGTGATTGTACGTTCTTGCCATGCAGTAAAACATGAACCCTGAAATGCTGGCCTGTTCCAGTTCTTGACTGGGGGGATTTTCACATGACAGTAAGGCAAAGGTAAATGTTCCCCTCGCACATATGTGCTAGTCGTTCCCGACTCTAGGGAGCAGTGCTCATCTCCATTTCAAAGCTGAAGAGCCGGCACTGTCCGAAGATATCTCCGTGATCATTGGCTGGCATGACTAAATGCCGAAGGCGCACGGAATGCTGTTACCTTCCCACCAAAGTAGTTCCTATTTTTCTACTTGCATTTTTACATGCTTTCAAACTACCAGGTTGGCAGAAGCTGGGACAAGTAATGGGAGCTCACTCCGTTACATGGTGCTAGGGATTCGAACCGCCGAACTGCTGACCTTTCTGATTGACAAGCTCAGCAACTTAGCCGCTGAGCCATCGCGTCCCTTACAGTAAGTTGCTGATTATTAGCATATAGAGTGAATCTAATCACTGTTGTTTATGAACACGGCTTAGGGTGTGGTATGAAGCCAGCAAACCAGTTAAACGAACCAGAACTTAATGCATCCTGTGAACCTGATTGCATCTACTTTGAAAGTTTGATCTTTAACAAGTTACTTGTTCTCAGGGAAGACAGATAAAGCCGTTAGCTTTAGAACAGGAATGGACAACCCTCCAGATGTTATGGAGTTATAACGGCATTTTTAGTCAATGTCAAGGAAAACGATTGAGAAGTGCTGGTCAGTGGCTTCCCAAAAGGCACCCTGGATGGAACTTACCTTTGACATGGTAGAGGCCTCCAAAATCTGGGGTTTTGTTAGTATCACTGCACATATTGCCTGAAAGAAGAGAAAAGAAAGGTGAATGTAAATGTTGAATTGCATTACACTTGCCATCAGATTTTCTGCAGAAACAAAGGAACAAAGAACGGGAAATCTAGAAGCTGAATAGGCAGCGTAGTTCTAAGTTGTCTAAGCCCAGCATTTCTAGCCTAGTGGCATAAGGTATTCTGTTGCGAGCAGAGGAGCAGAGGACTCTTCTCATGAAATATCTATGGACTCGCTCAATTGTATTAATGTCCGATATGCAGTGCAGGTTCCAGACAGGTGAACTGTATTCGAGAATTGGTCTGGCAAATGTTTTGTATGCTCTGGTTAGCAGTACAATGTTACCAGAGAAGAAGCTTCGCAAGATTAGGTTAACAACTCTTAATGCCTTTTTGGCAATGTTGTTACAGTGGACTCTGGCACTTAGATCATTAGAGATGAGCACTCCTTGGTCCTTGACAGAGTGGGGATCATCTTATGATGTCTTATGATCAACCTATGATGGACATAAATTGAGGATTACTTGTATAAATCCCAGCCATAAACCTCTTGCTATTTGTTTTCATGCAAGGTAATTAAGTGACAATAAGAAAAACAACACCATCCTGCTTTTAGTTCCTATTTGTAAGGGAGTCACCTTGGAACCTGGGAAGTCAGAAACAAAGACGGCTTCCAGCCTAAGTTCTCCCACCTGCAACAGCGGAGACCATAATACAGATTTATAAGCAGGGTTGCTGTGTTGATTACAGAGAAATAATGTATGCAAAATGCTTGCACGTTTCAGAGCGGATGCCTCTCACCCTGGTAGACATCCACACGTATCAAACGACAACAACAAATTTATGGTACTAAAAATGGCTGGCAGAGTTGCCCCAAATTTACTTAGCTTTGCTTCATCGCTAATAGCAACAATAATAATTCATATCGGCACCCCATTCTTCCAGAGTTTGTTGCACTTATGGTTTAGATCAGCTTCCCCAACCTAGTGCCCTTCATTAGATCCCCTCCATGAGAACATGGCAATTGATGTTTGAGAGAGAGAGGGAGGAAGAAAGGAAGGAGAGGAAGGAAGGAAGGAAGGAAGGAAGGAAGAAAGAAAGAAAGAAAGAAAGAAAGAAAGAAAGAAAGAAAGAAAGAAAGAAAAGAAAATTCATGTATATAAATCACATAATAATGTTATAGGTTTACAGTCACGGACATACCAAACCGCAAACTATCCTCAATCTCATTATGACTTGGTACAAAATATTACGTGAAACCAGAGAGGGTAGATTGAATGCCAACTCTCTTTTTGAGAGAGACTTCAAAGAGTATCAGTTCTTGTAAGATTCATTCCCTGCTATTAAGCAACTTCACTTGGAAAAATACAACCGTAACCCAATCACAAAAACAGGGCAACACAACCTGAAAATGGAGCTGATTCTTTCTTCAAAGTCAGCAATTTCTATGACCACAGCAGATTTGAGCAAGGCTCCTTGATGAAGAAGAGATAAACTATGATCACTTAGGAAGACAAACACGCCTTATAGCCTGTCTTCCACCCTTATTTGCTTTCTTGTCCTCTCTGTATTAAGTACCTGGGCACGGAACAGGAGAAGCGGTTACAAATGAAATATCCCTGATTACTACTGACTCCCAGGCAGGGCTGAGCTGATGAGATATTCAGATGTTCCATTAGGAGAAAGTTCTGGTTTTTCAAGGCAGTGAGCCTTTCCTTCATCTCCCCCCCACCCCAAGTCAGCATTTTTCCTGGTAATTCAAATATACAATTTCCTCTTTCTTCCCTATCTTCTGTCTTCTCACTTTTGGACTTTCTGTTCCAACACTGGAACAAGAAGTTGTGATGTAGGATCTACAGATAGTTGTTGTTGTTAGTTGAGAAGTCATGTCTGACCCATCGCGACCCCATGGACAACGTTCCTCCAGGCCTTCCTGTCCTCTACCATCTCCCTGAGTCCATTTAAGCTCACGCCAACTGCTTCAGTGACTCCATCCAGCCACTTAATTCTCTGTCGTCCCCTTCTTCTTTTGCCTTCCATCTTTCCCAGCATTAGGCTCTTCTCCAGAGAGTCCTTCCTTCTCATTAGGTGGCCAAAGTATTTGAGTTTCCTCTTCAGGATCTGGCCTTTTAGAGAACAGTCAGGGTTGATCTCCTCTAGGACTGACCAGTTTGACCGCCTTGCAGTCCACAGGACTCACAGGAGTCTACAGATAGATATATAGATTTCTTCATTCTCAATTGTTGAAGGATTTGAGAGGAATATTGACAGCAATAACTAGCTAGCTAGCTACCTAACTAAGTGGTGTCTTAAGCTAAAAACTACCTCTACTCATCTCAGTGCTCCTCACCATAAAGTCTGGGCTCAGGTTTATTCAGTGTGGAATTGGAAGTTTTCACCTTGTCAAATATGAACAATGTAATGCGACATCAAGCCTTTACTAAAACAAGGAACAGATGGCAATTATCTAGTATAACTAAAAGAAAATTGCTTCCACCCTTTTACAAAGATTGGTGAGAAAAAGAAATTATTATAAGCAGAACCTGAGTTTTCTCAAAGGTACTTTTTCAAGAGGCAGCTGGACTTTCTGTTTTTTCTCTGAAGACATTTTGCTTCTCATTCAAGAAGCTTCTTGCTTAGGCAGAAAACCCTACACCACTTCAGACAAATAGTTATCCAACATCTTCTTAAAAACTTCCAGTGTTGGCGCATTCACAACTTCTGGAGGCAAGTTGTTCCACTGATTAATTGTTCTGATTAATTGAAAAAGCACCTTTGGGACAACCATGACCTGGATGAATCTCCACAGACAGAATCTGAATTGGGTAGAGTTCTTTCATAGTGGCGTCTTGGTTTTTCCAAAATTCATCGCTTATCAGGAAGCTCCCAGATTCCTGCATGTAAGTTTATTCATTTCCACTTAGCATGTCAAAAAGCCTGACAGAATTTGTGCAGTTAGGGGCTGTCGCTGATCTTGTTCCCTAATACTTCAATCTATTTCATTTCCAGCTGTTAGTCAACATTCATCTTTGATAAGTGATTTATTTATTTTTTTGCACTTAACAAACAATGATGCTCTCACAGTCAGACTTATTAAGGATTTAAACCGATGCTATGGCAACCACGATGGACTGAAATACTGGGACAGAACACACACACCCTTCTTTGTGCAACCTCCAGGGAATTTTGCTGGGTGTTCAATGGAACACCTTGGACCTCTTTGCTATGAAATTTTTAAAAATAAGCCAAGAGAAATTATCTAAGATATTAACAGGAACAAGAGGAATTAAAATGTGATAGCAGTGTTCCAACAGCTAAGGGACTGCCACAAAGAAGAGGGGGTAGTCAAACTATTTTCCAAAGCACCTGAAGGCAAGACAAGAAGCAATGGATGGAAACTAATCAAGGAGAGAAGCAAATTAGAAATAAGGAGAAATTTCCTGACTGTTAGAGCATTAATCAATGGAATGGCTTGCCTTCAGAAATTGTGGGTGCTTCAACAGGCTGGGCATCCATTTGTCTGAAACGATGTAGGGTTTCTTGCTTGAGCAGGGGGTTGGACTAGAACAGGCATCAGCAACCTGTGGCTCTGGAGCCACATGTGGCTATTTCATCCCTCTCTGCAGCTCCCTGTTGCCAGTCGGCTTCACAATTGAGAGGGCTAGGGCTTTTGGTTAGGACAGGTAGAGGAAAAAGGACGCCGTGCTAGGAGGAGACTCTATGGTGGGGAAACCAGATTTCCGGTCAGCAGAGGAAAAAGGATGCTGCACTAGGAGGAGACTCTATCATGGGGGAACCAGACTTCCGGTCGTCTCCAGAATTGAACATGGGGCTTTCGATTAGTACCTCTGTGGCTCTTTGTGTGTTTCAGGTTGCCCTGGACTAAAAGCTCTCCAAGGTCCCTTCCAAATGTGTTATTCTGTTATTCTTTTTGTTCAGGAAAAACTTCCCCAGTCACCTCACCGAACATTGTGCAACGTTATCTCATTTAGCTGACTATTGTTTTTCACAATCCACTCTCAAATGTACAACATTAAGAAGAAAGAAAGAAAAAAACCTTGTTATACCACAGAGCTATGTAAACTCCCCAGGGTGTTTTGCTCTCACATGTGTAAAAACACATATATCCCCTGCATTTAACTTTTAATTCCCCCTTTTCCCTTTGCTTTGTTATGTCGTTCCAGCTCTATGAAGATCAAAAGATTCTTTGCTGACAATTAAAAAGAAAAAGGTATCACACCCAGCAACTGTTTTGCAAGGGGCCATTATCTGTAGGCAATTATCTATCTCCCAGACTCCTACATTTCTGTATAACCTCTCGTTTTACTCTTCCCCCTATCACCATACACACTTGCCAAAAACCGTAGCAGGACCGAAAAAGTTATTCTTGAAAAATAATTGAGCTAGCACTGAACCAGCCAGATCAAGTCAGCTGTTCCTTTTCACCTGCATCTATTTTAATTCTCTGGCTGTGCAACCAAGTGTCACAACCTTTATTTTTCTTACGCTGGCTCCATCTGCGCAAAGATCTCACCCAATGTTAATAAGTACACAGTTGCTCATCTTATATAAGAGGTTTTATAATAGCACTAGGTCTTAACAATTAGGGCAGTGTAAACTTGGGCCATATTAAAAGGGTAAAACTAAAACAAATTTAAAAGAGAATAAATAGTAGACATAATCTCCTCAGAAATAAGAATCCAACAGAAACCAACAGTTTGAGGAGATTTACTTAACACCAGCATAGGAAATCAAGTTTAGGGAGAGAAAGAGCATCACCTGAAAGACCCTTGGACTGCAAGGCGATCAAACGGGTCAGTTCTAGAGGAGATCCGTGACCCGACAAAAGGGCGAATGTCAAAACCGCACCTGACTAAACTGCGTCGCTAAAACTGCGATGTCATCAACGCGGCAACAACAGCGTGGCGACAGCGCGGAGACAGAAGGGCGCTTTACAACAGCGCATCGACAGAAAGCTGATTTAACTTAAGGTAAGGGTTAGGTTTAGGGTTA